CTACTTTTATAGGCGCGTCATTTCATGTCTTAGATTTTTGTACTTAATTAATTTTAGTTTTGAGTTTTGTATGGGACACCAGAACGCCTATAGTTAGATATTGGTAAATGATTCGTTGAAAAAGTTTCTACACAGTTCAAGAAGTGCAAATTGCAAAAAAAGTGGTGCAAGCAAATGACTGTGCAAAGATCTGAGAAAATCCGAAATGTTCCCAAGGATTCTTGGCGTCTCACAGGGGGTCTCGAAACTGATTTGAGCGTCCAATTCGAATCGGCCGCGTTGGACGTCAGAGCACTCGAGTAAGGTTGATTTTTTGTGTCTGTGAAGCTTGTCTGACTGTTCCCCAATGCGACAGCAGATTATTTGGTAAAGCTGGATTGAGTTACCTGTTTACTAGAGTATCACCTAACAGAGTTAGTCAGATGGCGACCAGATGTGTAGGACGTGATATGCAAGGGAATTACGTCAATCTCGGGAAAGATATTCATCAGTGCTGCGTCGTCTAGCAGCGGTTGCAAGCGTGGGAAGACACATTGCGCTTGTTTTTAAAATGTTCAATGCTCCTGGTCTGGAACACCCGGAGAGTGTACAGTCAATGCTGCTACAACTGTGCTAATTCGCCCTCATTCTTGATAGATCATTTCCTGTCAAAAAGGTAGCATCCATCACAGCACATGAACAGGCGAATGCGCAATGCTAATCGAAAAATGTGCTGGTAAGCAATCGATCTCAACCCTTACCCTCTACCAAGTGAAGTTCTCTTTCGAGAAGCTGTTGCAAAACTTGCGATTCAATTATAAGGTTGCGGTGATGCTAAAACCGTCACGTTTTCCGAAGCACCACCCACCCCATTGTCAAGGAGGCCCTACAAACTCTGGGCTGTTCTTCCCTGTTGTAGAATGGAATACCGTAGTCCTGCTTCAAACCTTCAAGCCGATCTTTTATCTCTAGAATCTCTATCGAGCGAACAGGTGGGGCTTGCCAGGACTGCTGGAGTTGAAAACTTCAGATTTCCGAAGTTCTTCATGAAATACATGCCTAGGAATATTCTCTTGCAGTTTTTCTTTCAAAAAATACATTCTTTGGCAGCAACACGGTCACGGATTTAATACTCTGACGTAGCTGCATAGCAGGGAAATCCTCAGATAGTGCATCGAAAGCAGGTCCAGAACTGGTTTTGATTTCCCTCCTCACAGTGGTTTTCGCTTTATAAATGTAGTGCTATTAGGGATGAAACCTTCTAATATGAAGAACTTTTTGGAAATTTAGGAGTTCAGATTAGGAGTTTTCATTGGCAGAGCAAAGGTACACTCCAGGACCAAGCTGGTGAGGTTTGTGCACATGGAAATGAAAGCACTGGTGCGAGGTCGGCCGGCAGTCAAGAAAAAGGAAAAGAATCTTTGGAAGCGCTATTGTTATGGCTTTGCTCACTTGTACGCTAAAGCAGTGGGAGCACATAGCAGAGAGGTCAAAGGAGGGATAATAGCGCATG